GTAGTGCCTAAGGCACTTGACTGCTAACCAGAAGGCTGGCGGTTCAAACCCACCAGCCACTCCTTGGAAGGAAGATGGGACAATCTACTTCCGTAGTGATACTGCCCCGGAAACCCAAGGAGGGGTCGTTATGAGTTGGGTCCGACTTGATGGCACATAACAACAACATGTATTGGTAATACTCTCCATGAATGTTTGGAACCTAGTTCCACTTTCAGATGGGTACTGAGTTCATGGTGATCCTTACCATGCAGCTAATGGTAAAGATGGGGTTTGCTTACCTTGCACCTTTACTAATGCAATTAGTAACAGCTCAACTATACATATTGGTTTCCTTTTGTGGTATACTGAATAATGGCTCTCCAAAAGATGTTCGTGTCCTAATCTCCAACACCTGTGAATATGTTGCTTTAGAAGACAAAAGGGACTTTGCAGATTTGATTAAGAATTTTGAGATGGAGCAATTATACTGGACTATCTGGGTTGTTGTTGTGTTCCATCAAGTCAATTGCAACTCATAGTGACCCTATAGGACAGAGTAGATATGCTCCATAGTGTTTTCTAGGCTGTAATCTTTATGGGGCAGATTGCCAGGTCTTTTCTCTCATGGAAAGGCTGGTGGGTTCAAATCACCAACCTTTCAGTTAGCAGCCAAGTGTTTAACCTTTGTGTTACCAAGGCTCTAGGATGATCTGAGTAGACCCTCTATAATTACAAGGGTCCTCATAAGAGGGAGGCAGAAGGACATGTGATGAGGGAAGCAGAGGTTCAAGCGATACCACTGGGGGGGGCGGTGAGGCATGAGCCACAGAAGGTGACAACCTCAAGAAACTGGAAAAAGAAGCCTTCAGAAGGAACGCAACCCTGCCAACACCTTGACCCTTTTTCGAATTTCTGATCTCAAGAACTGTGAGAGAATAAATTTGTGTTATTTTAAGCTACTAGATTTGTGATAATTTATTATAGTTGTAATAGGAAACTAATATGCCTTCCACTTCCCAAAAGAAAAAAAGATGCCAAATAATGAAATTGTTGTCATCCTCTTATTGCTCAGCACCTCCTAGAACTTTCTTGTCTCAGATCTTTGTATTTTTCTTCTTTCTTTCATTCCAGCCTCCCTCCCTCCTTCCTTCTACCCTTCAGTCTTCATTAAATATTTGTGGAGCATCTATGTGCCTCTCCCCAGAACCTCCAATACTTCGGATATCTCTCTCTAGCCAGGAGTTCCATGACAGTGTATTTCTTCCTTTGAATTTCTGTTATTATCTTGTTCAAAAAATAGTAAAGATATCCTTTACCATAATCTGCTACATTTACATTAAAATATAGTTGTGATGACCATACCTTTCACTTTTTAGCCATTTATTCTAATTGCAAAATAGTAAATTCAATCTAGAAAACTTAGAAATAACAAAAATTCACAACATAATACGATAAAAATCACCCCTCAGAGAAACCTACTGCTAACATTTTAGTATGTCTTTTCAATTTTTTTGCTGTGGCTATTAATGTATGTATTTATGTATATTAACTTTTTTTTTTTTTTTGGTTCATTTTGTGAAAAAGTGATTTCCACATCCTACTGTTGTTTGGAAATTCTTTTTCACTGAACAATTCCCCAGTGTCTATATACAGTTCTTATGGCAGAGCTTTAATAATCCTTAAATTTTTAAATAAATAAATTCTATTGTGAAGGACAAGGGAGGATTGCCCTGACTCAGCTGGGAGGCATCATGGTGCGGAGTGTCCTGTACGTTCTCCTTGGGAGGAGCAAGCTCTACTTCTGATCAGTGTTCCAACAGCAGGGTTCAAACAGAACAAGGGGATACTGCACGGTTTAAAATCAGCAAGGGTGTGTGTCAGGGTGGTATCCTTTTACCATACTTATTCAATCTGAGCAATAGGCTATCCCTAAATCTCGGGCTGTATCTTTCAGAGTGGCTTTTGCTTATCTGTCTACTATGAATCTCTTTAATTATTTGGTTTTGTAATACTTGATTTATTATATGCATTGTAAGACCATTCTGAAGAATCTGACCCATTTT